AAAGCTTCGGAATATGTTCTTGAGAGGACAGAAGTTAAAAAAAGATGGAAATGCTTGAGTAATTTTCGAAAAAGATGTCATCATAAGGTGGGTTAGCGCAGTAGAAACACCTACCAGAGAGACTACTAGTGAAAATAAGATAAATACAAATTAGAACTCGACTGATGTTTTATTCACCTCGGAGACTGGTAGTGGAATCCAGGACACGGGGTTTGTTCTATTAAGGACTCGTCGTTTGGATATACCTACACCCCAGTGAGTGTTGTTGTTCTTCCTGCTGCTTCAAACGACAAAGTACTATCCCACTACAGCGCAAATGAGTTGAGACTGAACTTCAAAACCGGGGGAAAGAACAGGAAGACAAAGCATTGGGAAGTGATTTCCTTGGAATTCTAGATGGATGTATGTGATCAAATTTACCAACGTAGTTACGAATTTTATGACTTTCCAGTCGTCATTCTTGCCTGCTTATATGAAACAAGCTGTCTGCTGTTACATTCAGAATGAATAGTTTCACTTTTCATTTTTGTCGTCAGACTGATCCACCACCTTATATATACATGCTAAAGCATACATTTGAAACGAACATTATCAAAGGTCCTGCTAACATTTTCGAGAGTATCCGGAATATTTCAGATGCGTAGTTGCTCTGTAATTGTTTGCTCTTGCAGTGTTGTGTCAAAATCTCTCGGTTTTCTTGTCAGTCGAATAACAGCAAACTGACAGTTGCACATAATGGCAGAGATTAATCGACTGTCAATACAATTGTCATTTTAACCTGTCCAAAACATTGGTTTTGTGGTTTAACACTTAATATCCTTCTTTATTTTTTTAAATTTTTCTTTATCTCACTTCAAATATTTTTAACTTTAGCTTGTGGCTTTCCTATAAACATTTTCTTTGTTTTTTCTGTACACTATGTGGAACAGTTTCAAAGATTAATAGCAGCAAAATATTTTGCCAGTCAAGTCCAAGGTTATTCTAGTTTTGGTTAGGTTCACCAGCATGAGTTTGAACTTCAGTTACAATAGAAACTCCTTCAGTATAATAAACTTACTAATACTGTTAAAAGTTTCCTGAAGCCTAGTCAAATCATTTTTTGATTGAAGCAGAAAAAGCAATAAGTATGAACAAGTTGGGCTATCAGTATAAGACAACTCTAAATGGAATTCATCCATTCGATTTGTGATTTTATTCATGAGTTTGAACGACTTTTATAAAGTCGACTTTATGTCCAGTACTAAACAAATGCTTAACGAATGCGCTCTTTAAACCTTGTGAACCCTCGAGACTCAAACTCTTTGGGATAAGCTCATAAGTGATAGCAAGACTGCTTTTATTTGTTTTTCAGGTGTATTTTCTTTGGCACGTGATTGTAAAATAATAGATATAGCTGGAGTTACCAAGAGTTGAGAACTTCTCCACTCAGGATTATCTCAATGGTCAACCAGCTTAAATCTTGGACTACCAAAAACTTTAAACCGATGATATTCCATCAAATTCTTCCCTTTTTAGTTCGTTTTGATCTTGTAAATGTCTTCGGAATGTATCATGTACTCTCTCAAGTTTTTAAACTGTTTTTGAAATTTCGTTTCTCCAGCTAAGAACAAAACAAAGGAAAAACACTCATTCGGTTGAAAAAGGATTTGTAAATGCTCAAAGATACACCACCTTATTATTCCTAGGATACCTGCATAGGTTTGTGAATTTCTATGCTGGCTGATGGAACTGACGCCATCAAAACTACACACAATTTTGTTTTAATTTCCGAATTGAGAATAGACGCTAATGTAACACTAGCTGCCCGTTTTACGTTTATTCCCTCAATACTGTCAATATTAACAGTATGAAGACGTAACAATTGTCTCTTTTAAAAATAATGCACGGAAGGCAAATTTGCTGAAATTTCCCATGCTGAAATTCCATACTGTATCACACATGTTGTTTGGAATAAAGCGACTATATTCGGTAGGTATGTAATGGATGCTGCTGATCAGAGTGGATATAATTGGTATATGTTGAGAGGGCGGTAGAAATCATAGGCAATTATCAGCACTGAGTAAAGATTCTGCCCAGAGAGACGCAAGAAATAGTGTGGACATATTAAGAGCAAATAAAGATGGAAAAATGAGAGGAAATGAAGCACATTGTGTAAATGATTGTCTTAGTGGAAGGTGTACACTATTTGATGACTACTGTACAAGATGTCAATAATAAACATTCCTTCCTACGTCTCAACATTCTCGTTTCAAATAATTGTTTTCGCTGCTTCTGGTCGTGAAGAAAATTTCGTGGCCTGCAGTATTCGAGGATGGAAACATCAAGGTCTTCCACGAGGGGTTTATGTTGATTGCGGAGCTGGTGAGTGTCCGGAATTTAGGGCAGAAGGTTTCGGTGCTTGGCACATTGCTGAGGGGTGGAATCAAAGCGCAAATGATGGAATGCAACTCCCGGATGTAATGAAGTTTTGGGAGAGAATGTTTGAACGACTGGAGGCGGAGTTTGACAGCCAAGAGGACAGGGACCTCGTGATACGGCATTTCTGGAGCACGAAACTTGGAATAGAAGACCCTCTTTGAAGTTGACCAAACTACTTCGACAAGCACTTCTTACTTTGGATGAGGACCATCAGGAACATTTACCAGCTTCACAGTTCACCGAAAGTGTCCCGAATGCCATCGCCTAGCAGCTACGAGTACTCAACTCGGTCCAACCAATGAATAATTGTGAGCTGACCAAGGTAACCGACATTTGACCGGTACAACAGTAGCTTAGGTCAAGTCACTAGGGGTAAGTAACTGGAGGGAACAAGTCGATAATCTTCAGGAGGAAGTGAGTGCACTTCAAATGAATGTCAACGGACTGAGACGTAGGAAGGAATGTTTATTATTGACATCTTGTACAGTAGTCATCAAATAGTGTACACCTTCCACTAAGACAATCATTTACACAATGTGCTTCATTTCCTCTCATTTTTCCATCTTTATTTGCTCTTAATATGTCCACACTATTTCTTGCGTCTCTCTGGGCAGAATCTTTACTCAGTGCTGATAATTGCCTATGATTTCTACCGCCCTCTCAACACATACCAATTATATCCAATCCGATTGGCAGCACGCACTACAAATATAGACTTCAGAAGAACATGTGTACGATAAAGGATTCATCCGTCAGTTCAGTAGCTTGTTTCGTAGAAGATTGTCTCTATGAATGATTTCTCAAGGCCAAAATATGAAAGTTATACTACATTTGAAATTCCTGATGCTTGGGGAATTCATATTCTGATGGGGGTAATTCAAACTACAAAACTACAGCAGTGAATACATTACTGGAAATGTCTAGAATATTCGAGAATTTGTTCGGTGTATGATGGTGATCTTATTTTTTGTACATATATTTGTGAATAACTTTATTTTAAAATATGCAAGGCAGTGAAAAGAACCGCTTAAAGATTAGCTGTGACTAATTTTCAATCATGGTACGGCATGTATGTTTAAAACTGAAAATGTCATGACCTTTAAGGTGATGCCTGCTGTTTTTAACAACAGTAAAATACAAAGCAAACAGCAATCTTAGCATTACTACATCCGCTGTTAAATCCTCTGCCACATGATAAGTAATTTTTAATTATTTGAAGACAATAATTAATTTTTATTTAAAGGAAAAATATATTTAACAACATGGAAGTGTTTCATACATTTTAGTGAATTTAAATTTCACCAGAGTAGAAACTATTATTTTAAAAATGTCATAGAAAAATGATATTCTTATTAAAATTACAGAATTAAAGTTCTTGAATAAACATCATGTAAGGAGCTGTAAAATCTACCTTAGAAACCGATTGAAAGGCGGTAAACAAAAAGTCAAAGCATAATGTTAGTTCTCAAGAATAAATGTACATATATACTTGGAAATAAAATGTGTCGTGTGAATTTTCGCGAGATTGCCGATATACACCACACCCTTGGACAAAAGCGGATACCAGGTGATAAATAATCTTTACTTATGATTATCTTGGTCTTTTCTAGTGAGCTTTGTTCAACTCTATTGAAAAAAGTCACATTCGTCATAACTTCGTTGATGCGTTACTAAAATGCCGACAGACTTAGCGGCTAATATTTGTCATCACGAATAAACATTTTTATTGAAATAGGACTTTTTATCAACATCATCTGGTAAATCATCTAAAAACAACGAAAATGTTTACAGATGAATAAGCAGTTTATGTTATTTTATAGTCCTTGAAATACTAAGAACGGTAAAACTTCGGTGTTGTTCCTTGAAGTTGATGTACTGAGGTTTGATACATACAGGAAATTTTTCACGGTATTAAATTTAGATGATATCAAGAAAAAAAGTGTTTCTTTTGTGTTATTTTATACTGACTATCATTACTTTTTATGTGTTTTCACCGAGATACTGTTTTATATTAAGTATGACAGTTAACATGGTCGTGTCAAGAAGAAACTGTTTCTCATTATGTATGTTGGCCAGTTTGTGGATCTGTGCAGCTGTTTTCCTTAATAAAATAAGTATGTTTCACTGAATAGTCCATGAACCATTACTCAGTTACTGAGTTTTATTCATTTCTCACAATTTCCGAAAAGTTTTTATATCATAACCACCTAAGGACCTGAGGTAACTACATATAAAACATGAGTTTTGAAACTATTAGGTTGTTTTGAAATGTACTGTAGTCTCACTTTAACTTTCAGATGACATTGTATAATTTCAAATACATTTGAGAAAAAAGCACAAACAAACTGTACTTATATTCAACTGTCGACCCAAGTAATAATGAATTTATCTGTATGTTTGAGTCACTTTGGAGTAACAGTTTTGGAGTATATAGGACCAGTTAAAGGTGGCACCTAACTTGTGTAATTTTTAAGCAAAATGAAAGTCTCCTGACAATGATAGGAGTTAAAACAGGAAGTCCAAAGTCTTTTTACCACCAAAAGTTATCTTTTTTTGGAATTCATAATAATTTACAGTGAAAACTAAACAGATGGTTTTAAGAACACAAGTTCATTTGTCTTATCAAAATAAGTAAATTGTTGATAACTTTTTCTTTTATAACAAGTAAGTTTATGAATGTAAAAAAATGAGGTACAGCAATTTTCATTAATTTCAATTTCAAGATACTTTGGAACGTTACTAGGAAATGAGATCAAATGTGTCTTGGTTTTCTGTTTACCTAAAAAGCGAAATATTTAAAAATTCCTTAACTTTAATGTATTTGTGGATTACCTTGAATCCATATTATTTTTTTAATTGAATCATAAATTGTTACTTTTTTCAAGACATTGATGATTTTAGTTAGAGACTGATTTACTGATTGGTTCAAAACTTCACCCATTTGACCCTCAAACTGAAAGTCAAAAGAGGAGAAGAAAAATCTTACCTTTTAGGTAAAGTAACGATTAAAACAATATTTCCGTAAAAATAATGTCATTCAGATAAGTTATGTATTTTGTAAATGTTTCTACTTTTAGCCACGAATGAATATATTTCGTAAACCAGCATGAAAGTTCAGGTCGCAATAAAATTATTATACTTATACCATGTGTTTTCGTTTATAATGTATCAGAAATGTACCTTTAACTAGAGTAGTGAAAACACCTTCACTATGAGCTTAAATATTAATATTAACAAGTGGGAATCATGAATAAATGTAACTTTTTCACTGTTTTATGATCATGTAGAAGAAAGATGAAAATTCAGCGCAGAAAAATTTCTTGTCCGCGATTTCAATCATCGCAGGTGAATAATTATATTTGTTACTTTTGGAAAGCAGTAAATTGTTTATCGTCAATGAAAAGAGTCATATGGCAGCCTACTTGAAATGTGGACTATCTTATTTTTTCACAAAACGCGTCTAGTCATGTTATATATTCTTGTGCGATTTAAAAATCACTTCTTAAATAAGGGTGAAATAAGAAAAGTTCTATGATGCGTGGTTAAGGGCTTCCAGATGTACAATCATATATAAAATGGATATTCCGGAAATACTGGGCGCAAACTGCTATTCCTTGTTGAAAAACGTAGCTTGACTTCATTTCTATCCGCAAATATTTATCACAGTATACGTGTAATAACACTGGAAGAAACACGGCTTTATAATCTGTATGGTGATGATTTAGCTAATGTACTTTCAAGAAATACGGTGAAGATGTAACAAAATTTATCAGTTTATCCGCCCCATCTCTTTATGCTTTACCTTCTCCAATGGCAAAACTAACTGCCCCACTATTAAATATCATTCTAAACATTTTAGTAAGTACAAACTCATTTAAATAAGAAACATTTATGTCACATCTCACCGCAGTTTCTTCAGTTTATCAACTTTTGCTGATAAATCCACTGAATTTGCCACTATTATTGTGAGTTACTCTTTGTTCACAGTCTGCCGATTTTCATTTTTGACTCCAGTTTCCTTCGCTCACAGATTCGAGATCTGATAACTTTTCTACTCATTTGGACACCACATTACGTTTACTGTTCAAAAATGACTCCGGAATATATACGGAGCTCATAAGCGAGCTTTTTCGCAAAATTTTGACCACTGCTATACTAGTGCACAGAAAACTAAGTGAGAAGGCATTCGGATACCTTTACAAGGACGTTCGGCTCAGATGCTATTCACAAGACAATGTACTGTGCTAGAGAAGTATATTAAAAAAACCGACTAAGAAGTGCTGACAGATGAAGTTTTAGCCAACCCTACCGGTAATATCGCGATGTCCTAGATTTTTTTCTAACACTTGCTATCCTAGTGTGACGGTCTTCATGAGTCTTCAAAAACTTTCTTCTCCACATCTCAAGAAACTCCGAAGAGGAAAAAATGTTGTATTAGGGGAAAGATCACCTTGTCGTTAAAAGGTTTAACTGTCTAACTTCGATGTACAGTGTCTAAATACAATGTACAACTAGAGGCTTCTATCATCTAAGAACTAATATTTGTAAATTATTTAAAGAACTTACTGATGGAAAAAATGACTCATAAAGTTTGTTCTGACACCTGTACATTGAGCCAGTTTTTATTTGTCGCAGGCTGATTTTGTCCTACCTAGTACGTACAGTCAAAGGGATACATACTTTCTTTGCTTTATTAAAAATGGTGTTTTCAAATGTTTCAAATCCTTGAATCCATTCCAAAGCCTATGTCCTGATGGCGATATTTCGGGAGTATCTGAATATCTACATGCTATTCTCTTACGGATAACTTTGCTGTACCATTTTTCAAAAATTCAATACCTGCTGCTCAGATGGAGAATAATTAAAGCCTTTACTGAAGGCTTTCACAGATCTAAAACAGTTTGATGATAAACACAGGAGAACTTCAAATGCCGCCACTGCCTAGAATCATACCATTGTTTCTAGTACAGACAAAGGTGTTAAGTATGTTAGCTGTACCTTCTTAGGTCTCGCATCTGCCTCTAAATCTGTATCTAAGTCGCTTTTGTTGGTAAACGCGCCACTACGTAAACTGAGCCTTGAATCACGAACTAGTCGCGTTTTCATCTTTATGATAGGAACCAGTATACTGTAAATAAAGACAAGCGCTTCACTTCGTGGCTTATTAAAGCTGTTGTGCCTCAAATTGCAGTACTAAGCTGCTTTTTCCTTTTCGTTTGACCTTCCTCACACTGCTAACATTAACTTCGTTAAGTGTTCTGAAGAGCTGACAGTTTTTATGCCAGTTGTTGCCTAGCTAAACTGTTCTAAAATGAGTGTTTTCCTACCTAAAACCTATCAGTGATTTTCTTCAAGTAATCATGGGATGAAAGTTTTGTAATTTCAGCTCGTTGGTCATTGTTTCAAACGTAAACGGGACTTGTGTGAGATGATCCGCGTGAATGACTACTATAGTATTGATAGTAATACTCAAATGGTACATATCCTCTGATTTTTGTTGCTGGTCTAATATCTAGTTGACTTTCAAGAAAATCTTTCTTTTAGCGTGATAAATAAAAAAGCTGAGGCTCTGTGGTAGACAGCCCTTACTTTCACAACTTACCAATTTCTGTATTTTACCTTTCTTTGTTTACCATCATCTGCTAATCTTCAACAGTCTGCCAAAGAGACCATGTTATTTTGGGCTGCGATTCGGAAGCTGCTAGTAGGGCAGGTGGTATGCCTATGGCCAGATGAATAACAGTGTGGTTGACAGACGTTCAGTTCCAAGCAGATAACTACTTGTAGTCATTTCAGTGAATATTAAACATTCTTTTTATTCACGGCTCTCGCTTTGCGTTTCTGTGTACGGTTAAATACGAATATTTATCCGTGTTTCACCTAGTATAGTTCTTGTATGAAGAAAAAGTTGTTGGATCAGAACTCACTTATCAGCTGTGCACCAGTAAAAAATCAATCCTTTTAGCATTCTAACCATTCATATAAAACCGTCCTCACTGCAAGTATTGCTTACATAATTTAAATTGCCGTAATAACCACTATTCACAGTGCAGCTAACGAGTACACCGTTTTGCGACATGATATGCTGGGAATTTTAAATTTTATCAGAAATTGTGGGGAATAAAGTGATTATTACCAATAATGTCCAAGTATAGGAAAAAGCATTGTCCTCCAAAGTTTCTGCTGTAGTATCAACTTTGAATTTTATATTCAAGAGTATAGTTTTCTATAGAACCTCTTGAAGCTGTTCAGTATATTGTTTCGGTTTCACGTTCTTTTTGATTAGTTTAAAAGTGCAACCATTTTAAACGAGTGGTTGTTTGTCTGCTTCAGCATCAATCAAATAACGGATGAATTAGTCTTCTGTTTCCGTTCAATATCCTTCAACTTTGAAGATGCATACATTGTGGTTGCAATTTGGTTTCCTTCAAATTAGTCTCCGGATGTAATCACGCTATCTTCTCCGGGATGAAACATTTATGAAGTAAAACCTATAATCCATCCTATTCTCCATCGTAAATCTGGTTAACTGCTGGTAACCATCAATTTTTTAAATCATGGACTCCAGAATACTGTTCGAATCGCATGACGAATCGTCAGTCTTATATCCTTTAAATGAGTGAAACTGTTCATTCAGCTGACATGTCTTGATGTTATTCAAGTATTCTATAAGGTAGTCTGCCAACAGAGGACTGGGGAGTGACTGTATAGCTGTTTTGTCACCTTGTGTTCAGACATCAATGTTAAATCGAAACTGAGTATTAAACGCTTTTTTTTAGATAACTTTTGTGGACAACGACATCAAACTTGTTAACATCAGTAAAACTGCACCAGCTACGGAAAATATTTCTTCCTTCTTTGTGATTCCTTCACCCGAGTATTATATTTTGATAAAATAATTATAATTATATTTGATAGGAGAAAAGCTTCTAATCTTTTTTCCTTTTTAGGAAATCTAACAACTGTCTCAAATGACAATCAGATACACGTTTCTTTGTAGAACAGAATGAAGTGAGAAAGTATAGCCAGGAGGATAGTAAAATAAATAATAACCTAAACACATTGAACAACATACATAGATCAGTTTAGATATAGAAAAATTTGTTGGAACTATGTATATCCATTTGGCCTGGGTTGTTTTTAGTTTATTCAGTTGTTAAATATATCATTTCCTTTTGATAATTAATTTAGATAATTCATTGCAAGCATGAAATATTATCTCATGGCTGACCTTTTTCAAGAGACTTTATCACCTGTATCTTCATGTGTTACAGTTTTATAAAACTAAATATTTTGGCAATAACAGATTCGCTGCTATCTTGTTTAATTCCATTTGACCGGAGTAAATGAAATAGAAACTGTGTGGTATATTATTTATTGATTATGATATTAAAAGAGGATAATTCAGTTAAATTAGTACTTCAGATTAGTGCTTGAAAGTGAAAGATCTAGGAATATTCAATCAATTCCCACTAACAAAGCATCCTTTTTGGTAGCGTTATGCAAGAACATTTGAACCAATAAAAATCTTCTGATGACCGTAGGGAGTAGGGTTTAACTATCAAATTTTTAGTCATGAAGTATAAAAATAATCATTTTATTTCAGATAATAATTTCTAATACAGTATGGAATTCTCAGTATGATATTTCAACAAGTTTACTCCTAGTACAATATTTTTAAATTAAATAATCATTGCAGTAAACTTATGTTAATAGTAACAGTATGATAAACAATAATACACAACTACTTGTTTTCGTTGGTTATCATTTAGTTCGTAGGTAAGTTGCTGCATGAGGGAAGACGAGGAAAATACCCCTAGGTTTGGTAGTGGAGACTTATTCAGCCAGAATAAAGGTTGCGGTTCCTCCTACTATACCTTTAATAGTTATGTGACGGACTATCGTGTGCTAAAGAGGCGACCACGATACACTGTGAAAATG